CCCGTGTCGGCCCGGGGCCCCCCCGGTTCCCCCCCCAGCCGAGGCTGGGCAAGGGGTACAGCTCTGCTTCCCTGCTGCCAGGCCGCCACCAGTGGCCATAGCATAGCATCTTAGGTTATATTTATTTTTTTAAAGAATATGCTTTAAATGCATTGCTTTTTGCATGCCTGGTTATCAGATTGGGAGGTTTTGAAAGAAAGAGGCAGGGGAGGAAGAAGGTTTTTTTACATGATAAGGTATGTCTGGTATCAAGAGCTCTTGTATGGTAGCTTTGAAGAAACAGGTCAGTCCTCTGGGTTGAGAGGAGTCATCTCTTTGTATGAGCTTTTCTTCTCAGGGAACAAAGAAAGGTAAAAAAGTCCCATTTTATTATAGTAACAAGCAAGAACATCAGAAAGGAGATGGTTCAGACATATGGGTTATGAATATGATGGTACTGACATTTTTCTTTCCCAAGCACAACTTGACCGTGGAGCTCAGTGTTCCCAGGAACATGACAAGTCTCTTGAAAACTCACTGGTAGTCTTCATAGAATAGGAAAATATCCTAAGTGGTAGCCTAAGGGTTTTTCATTTATGGTGATTTTTGTAGGAGATAGAAACACAGGCATTTCACAGTACAAGGCAGGAATTAACTTACATCCAGACAGTGCCTGACTTGTCATGTTGTCCTGTAACTATTTATTAGTTAAGAGGGAGAAGGTTATCTGATCTTCCCGTCTGCTGAGCATTGCAGGATCCACAAGGGAAGGGGCACAGAAGAGAGAGTGTAAAAGCCTCAATCAGATGGCATCTCTGCTGCCAGTGGTTGGCAGCTGGGCAAGTATTCAGGAGAAGCGTCACACTTAGTTGCCATATCATAAGCTTGCCCTCCTCTCCTGCATCCCCGAGGCAGCCCCACTTCCCATTGCTTGGGGACAGAACAGGGGTAAGCTGGGCCTTTGGAATGACCCCCTGGTAGCTGCTCTAAGGGTCAGTTTATACCTGCTTAGACAGCAAAGTTTTCCACATAGTCCCTTCTTGTTCTCGGATGTATTTATTTTTTAATGAGATTATGAGATTAAGTGGTGTATTGTTCCTTAAAATTGAAAGATGGTGTATTGGAAGGGTGGGAGGAGAAAAGTGACTCTTGGCAGAGCAGAAGAGCGTTTTGGATTAAGCACCTTGTTTGTTTCTTCTGTTGTTCTCTCAGACGATACAGGAGGTTGCAGGCTACGTGCTGATTGCACTGAACATGGTGGATGTCATTCCCCTAGAAAACCTTCAGATCATCCGAGGCAATGTGCTGTATGACAACTCTTACGCCCTGGCAGTTTTATCCAATTACCACATGAATAAAACCCAGGGACTCCGAGAGCTGCCGATGAAACGGCTGTCAGGTGAGATGAGGGCAAGAGGTGGGGGCACCTGTAAAACAAAATTCCACTGTTAGATTATTGGTATCAAGATGTGATTGAAGATCTCCTCTCAAAGTCATATGCCATCAAATCCTACTTTAAAAACAGGGGTCTGAATGTAGTTTCCCAGTTTCCTACTGGCTTTCCTGCGAGCCAGCCTTCTTCAAAAGATGAAGAAAGTTCATAAGATGAAGAAAGTCCATTGCAGAGAAATCCAGAAAATCCAATGCAGCAACAGGGTGGCGAGATTTATTTGTGTCCCCTAAAATAGCAAAGAAGTATTCACTCATTATTTTGCATTATTTGATTCCAACGCATACATACATCAGTATTTTCTGTTAAATTCCAGTGGGACCTGGTGGTATGCAAGTTAGGGTCTTAGAGTGTCTGGCTGACAGTCTCTGGCTGTGCACGCCAGCAGTGCCATCTCTGCTGAGTGCAGTGGCCTCTGGAGGTGGCACCAGGCAGAAAGCCACATGTAGTTGCATCTTAATGGCATCCAACTGCAGCCGACCCTCCATAACCCATCAGTCTGAGCCTGGTGTTAGTTGCACCATCAGGAGTGATGGTGCTATGCAGATTGCCCTTTTCTGTCAGCATAGTATGACTGAGGTGAATAAATACGTGGTTTATTTCCCTTTCTTTAGATCAGAGACAGAAGACTTAGGCAGCTTGCTTCACTTACCAATTTTTTTCCTTCCATGGCAGAAATTCTTAATGGAGGTGTTAAAATCAGCAACAACCCCAAACTGTGCAACATGGACACTGTTCTCTGGAATGACATCATTGACACAAGCAAGCAGCCTCTCAAGGTGCTTGAATTTGCAAGCAACCTGTCTTCTTGTGAGTATGAACTTACCAAAAATGCTATGCACTCCCCCATTTCATAGAGAAGAGCAAACATCCCATCTTTCATGCAGTGAGTTTCAGGTCTACCAATTCCTGCATGGAGGGCCACCAAGCCCTGTTCCGGGAGAGATCCTTTTCTTCACCACTGGCTTAAGATGTAATTTTTCATGGTGGTTAGGTCCTTAACTCATAGCTTAGCAAAGTTTTTGGGAAAGCTTCTCTTGGTTTTAGACAGTACCCTACATATGTGTTCTTCAAAGACAACTCAGAATAACACGCACTCATTTGCTTTCCAGCAATCTTCTGTTTACAGTGTAAGGTTCTGGTCTAGAAAACCCATATGGGTACCCTCATGGAATTACTGTAGGACTTGAAGCCTATTCAGCTCGAAGACCCAAGCTGAGTGCCTTAAAACTCGTGTTTTGGGCTGCACGGATTACCCTTGCAAAATTGGTGATAAACAGGCAGATAAATCAGATGCTTTTGATCAGCAGGGAGATGAGCGTATATTTAAAAGTTTGTGTTACATATGCTTAGAGTGAGCTCAAGCTAATCCTTCAGCCTTTTGAGTCACTTGTTAAATCCCCAGTCATTTCATGGAAAGGAGAGTTTATTTTAATTTCTGAGCATTTCATTTCTGGCACTATGAATTGGCAGAAAAACATATTTTCTTTATCTTCTTCCAGTTGCGTAATTGCTTCAGACCTAATAGCCAGCTTCTGTGTTGACATATTTTTCTGTAGAGCCCTAGCGTAATCAAGGAGTTGTGAACCATACAAGTCAGCACAGGAGTTTGGCTCTAAACACCACAGAAATGTTAACCTTTAACTTTTCAACTCTAAAAAAAAATAAAAACTCTTTGGTCCTGCACCAAATCAATCAACTGTTGGACAAGTATTGGCATTTGTTCAGCTATTTGATGGGCAGTGGGGAGGAGGGAGAATCATGTGTTGTTAGCAGGAAGAATCACTCTAGCAGGAAATGCCTCTTAAATGTAGTGAATTCCAGATTAATTTGCTTAGACAGCCATTTATGGTTTTAATAACGATCCCGTAATCTAAAATAAGTTGTTTCTCTGGGACTTTGCCTGTCATTTAGAGAAAGAAAAAGAAAGAAAAGAGTAGCGAGAGAGAGATGGGAAAGAGCCCGACCATCCTGCCGCCTCTCCATCGATTGTCCGCCTGCTGCATAGTGCTACATCGAGGAACATTTTTGTCAGAGGGCAGGAGGAGGGTGCAAAGCAGACAAGTTGAATTACTTTGTGGTCGGAGTAGCTGGCAGTTGCCTGCGAATCCAGTTGGGTTTGTTTTCTTTTTGGAACCACGTTGTTCAGAAACATTGATTTACATGTGGCCTGTAGCGAGCAGCTGGCACATGCCCGGCCACAAGCCAGCGGTGACTTGCCATTGCATGCAAACTCCAGCAGAAGGGCCAGCCGGGCAGTAGCTGAAATTCCTGTTCCTGGGAAAAATATGCCTCTTTCATAAGCCAGACTGGCTGGGTGTTGCGCTCGCTCGCTCAAAGGTGTGGAGAACTGCATGTAGGAAACCAGAGATAAGCAAAGGATAAGGATTTAAGGTCCAGCTCTCGAGATTTTTGAGCACTGGTATATAGGTGCTTTCTCCGCTGATTTATTGAGAAGGAAAGCTCAAGTCTTTGTTTTCTGTGACTCATGTGATGCTGTTGTTGTCCATGTTTATAGAATATAATACTCTGCTCTCGTGTTTTAGGTCCCAAATGTCATCCAAACTGCACAGAAGACCACTGCTGGGGCCCTGGTGAACAGAATTGCCAGACATGTAAGCCTGCAGATTAATTAAGAAATACCTTGTGTGCTGTGACATACTAAATTTCTATCTATCTAATGAAAAATGAACCTGTCAAGCGCGAATTAGTGACATGTGCTTCACACTTGTCCTTCTCTGCATCCTGCTACACTGGGTCTCCTGGAAGCAACCCAGGGAGGGATGTGGCCAGCTTCCCGCTCTGCAGAAGCAGAGTCGTGGGGAGTATGGCCGTGCCCGCTCCCCCGAGTAACTCCATTCCTGGAGGGGAAACCTCAAGGTGATTTAACTTGGGTCTGGATTTCCCTGCTGATGTGCTGTTCTTCCAGAGGCAAAAGGCTGCAGCTGTCTCCTGTGTTGAAAGCTTTTGCCTGTCGCCCACAACTTTCTCCCATCTGCACTTGAGAACATTTATTAAGTTATTTTACCATATAAGAGACAACGCAGTAGCTGCATGGTGAATTGTTTGCCTTCCTGCTATTTCCCACAGAAGCATTCTGTAGGCCAGTTAACAATACTTTGGATTAATTTCTACTGTTAGAAGTAACAATGTAACCTGGTTTTTGCTGGCTTTAATCCCTCCTTTTGGAATCCCCATAGATTTCTTTTGTAAGCACAAAAGATGTCACTGTCATGTGGGTAATCACACTACATACTGTACTTAGAGGACCTTTTGAAGGCTCTCAGAAAATGTGTGGCTATTTTTTAATTTCCAAATGGAGATATTTGGCATTGTGAGGTTGTTCAGTTTGATTACCTGTGCTTTACTGTAAAGTTTTGCGGGTAGGATGCTTGCCTGATATTAAGACAGTGACAGAAACATCCATTTAAAAGTGCTTGAGAGTTTGCAAGGCTTTATTTTTCCTAAAGTAAAGGCTGAGGAAGAAGACCATCTCAACTTGTTTCACTACTTCATTATGTCCTTTTTCTGTAATAAGTGAGGAAATGCACTGTTTCTGATTCTGTTTTGTGTAAAGTTCAGTGGAAAGACTGCTGATCTAGACATAATGCAAATGAAAGCAACATCCTATCTTCGTTTTTCCATTGCAAATAATCACCTAAACCTCAGTTTCTTGCTTGCAAATATTGGGTCAAAACTGTATGGTTTCTGGAGCTTAAGGAAAAAGGAACATACAGCTTTTCTCTCCTCATTTAGTATAACCTTTAGGTTTTTTCAGTCAGCTCTGCAGTTTGGCTCTTGAGGTGGACAGTGGCTGCGCACACAAAGCCCTTCCCAGGTCGGTCCCCACAGCTGATGCCTCACAGCTGTCCCAGGGGCTTGCGAAACCTCAGGTCTCAGCCCTGCAAGCTTCCAGCATTTGCAAACTCTTGCTGGCTTCAGGAGGATGACTAGGAGTGCATAAACCAAAACTGTTTGCAGGCTCTGGCTCTCCTCTCCAGGCACTTGAGAATCTGGCCAACTGAAAATGTATCCCACGTTTCCATATGTGGGAAAGTTTGGGGTGATACATATCTTTCTCCTTCAATGAACGTGGGATATTCTGTATGAAATATAAACGTTTGCCGTGATATATGTTTCCAGCAGGAAGCTCTAGTCAATAGCTATCAAAGTGACGAGCTGTATTACTCCCCTGCTGATGCTTATGAAAAAGATGATATCAAAATGCTGTTCGTGTAGAACAATGTGCCTTTTATTCCCCTGTTTCTAGTTGAATGGAGGAGTTGCTATCGGAGAAGCTAGTGCACATTGTGAAAATAGTCTGTTTCCTTGAAAGTATACTATCTTGCGTACAGGTCCACAAGAAAAATGAAATAATGCAGTTTGGATACAAAAATGTGTAACAGAAAAAGATAGGAAATACGATTTTTTTAAAACATCACTGTTACATATCCTGTAGCAGGCTACATTTCCCAATAATTTTCTGTTAATTAACAACCAGCAGTTTTGGACTTACAGGAATTCCTGGTGATATTGTAACTCATTTGTTCCAACTGCAAAGTTGATAACAGTTACTGTAGCGTGCAGCCAAAATGCTGAGGGTGCTGTAATGCAGCGGATTAGCCATCAGGTTTCTCTGACGTCTAATGCCAGGGTCTGCGGATCAGTAATTTTTTTGTAAAGAACAAACAATCCCATTTTGGGTTGCTGGTACAAACACATGCTAGCCATTCATTTCTGGTTTGGTTGTGGGTTTTTTTGTTTTTTTTTTTTTTTTTTTTTTTTTTTAATTGTACTGATTATCTTTTTCTCTGCTTTGATATTCAAATGGAGATGATTTCCCGATTCTCAACAAAATGTTGCAGGCAGTTTTTGCTTCCCTGCAAAAAGCTGAATCAGGGCCAGTTCTTCCTCTGGATTGCTGCACTGGTGCAAACCCTGTGGGAGCTGAGTAATGAAGATAAAATTTGGCCACAGAATTGAAGCCTAAAGAAAAATAATACAATATGTGTATGAAATCAGTTTGCTGAGTGTGTCTCCCCTCTCTCTGAAAATTTCAGAAATATTTTTAGTGCATTGAAGGGATCCTAATACCACACCAACAATGTACGGTTTCCCGTTATAGTAGAGGGTCCTGGCAGTTCTCCTGTCATGTTGTTTTTCCCAAAGCTAGCACCAAAAATGACGGATTTTCTCAACAAAATGGAGCCAGATCCTGCTCTGTTGCTCAACTGTAAGATGCAGTGACTCTACAGAGTTTTTCTTGGTTTAGGCATTGATGCCTCAGGGACCTGGATGCTCTTTCTAAGCAGGACGTGGTTTGCTGGCTGGGACTGGAGTGCTTAGCACCTCTCAAGAGCCAAGATAATTACTGCTGAACACAACCCCTTCTTGCCACCACCCACACCAGCTCTCACCATTCCCGAGCCTGGGCCTTATATGAGGACAGAACACGCATCCCATGGGAAAAATCTAGCATAGATCCTGCACCAGACCTTTTCTCCATATTTCTTGGTCTTATTGCAGCAAGTACAGCTTAACCGTTCTTCATTCCTGATGATTTTCCTTTTTTCTTGTGTCTTCCAGTAACGAAAGTCATCTGTGCCCAGCAGTGCTCTGGCCGGTGCAGGGGAAAGGTGCCCAGCGACTGCTGCCACAACCAGTGTGCTGCAGGGTGCACGGGGCCTCGGGAAAGCGACTGCCTGGTAACCATGCTATACCAACCACCATAACTGCTTAAATCCCTGGCACAGCGAGGCAGGCTTTCAGCTGCGTGTCCTCTAGCCTTCTTGCATCTGAGAAGGCCTCTGAGAGATGCTGACCTGGAGGGTGCTCCAGGGCTTCCCTGCATGGGTGGTTGGTGAGAGGGAAGAGGACATGAATTTCATGGCACCCTTAGCTCTCCTGACTCTGCCGGTGGATTATCCTAGCACATGCCAAACTAGCGTTAGTGCCTTTGAGAGCCCAGTGAGCTCAAAGTTGTTGCAGAGCAGCTAAGTGTTCGCTGTAGGGCGACTTCCCCACGTAGGCAGGTCCGCAGGTCCTCAGTTGCCACCGCGGTGCAGTGGTTTTCCGTGCCAGCACAGCTTCACCATGTGCTCTCAGCGGTAGTCAGTAATAATCTCAGTTTACCAAAGCAAGAACTTGTAAGGGGAATCAAATATGATGGATTTTCGCTTTTTTTTTTGCGTTTCATTGTGCTGCAGACATGAAATCAAAGTTTTCCTTTCTGGTTTTCACTTGCCACAAAAACACCGTGTTTGGGGGACCCTGGGGCAGAGGAAGGAAAAGGAGAAAATGGAGGTTTTTTAGGAAAAAAAAAAAAATCCCATTGCTTTTCTACAAGAGTTTTAGGGGATTGGTGCACGCTGTGTTTTTAACTCTTCCCCATGTTTGCATTACATTTCATTCTGAATTAAGTCACACTTGAGTAATTGCCGCATTATCTGTGTTCCTGGTCCCCTTATAAATTGTGTGGCTGTAATGCCCTTACTGGCTCACAGAGAAGACAGTTACTCGCTCTTATCTGGAAAGCCAGGAAGAAAAAAGGGAAAAAAGAGAGTGATTATTAATTTAATGCAGAATTAGGTTGGAAGAACCGACTTGTACTTCATAAATGCCTGCTAAATTGTTCATCACCTGCAGCCAAACATAATGGCTTCAGTTTAATATTAAACCAGAAAAGTCAGTAATCAGC